CCTTGCTTAAAAATGCACTTTGTCCCCCAAATTATAGGCTTCCTGAAACTTGAGGAATCAAAAATTATAGGCTCTTTGAAACTCATATTCATTTTCCCATGGAACCAATAAAATGAAGAGTCCTCATATAATCTCATGAAGTCCTGTTTAATCTAAATATTGCTAAATATATCTTTGTAACTTTGTCTTTGTGGGAAACTGTGTTTTGCCTGGTGTTACTGTAGACCTACTAGAAATAACCTGATACTATAAATCTTATGGGGATTGATCTGAAAAGGGAAAGAATGAGAATTCTTGAACTGTATAGTTAGTTCAACCCCATTTCAAGTCTTTACATCAGCTGAAACTGAAAAGTTTTATGTTCTACCATGCATTTATTTTCTGATAAGAGAACATGCAAATAGTTGCAATATAAAATAATGTAATATGTCCATGCATATATATATATGTATATATATATATGTACACACATACCTATATTTAATGAGATAGGGAAGTACATAGAATATTTAGAAGTAAATTAGGTCAGAGGAAACATAAAGAGAAAAAAGGGGTATGTTAATTTGACTTTGGAGGATAAATAGTAATTTTCTTGATGAACTGATTGAACTAGAAAAAGGCAATCCTTAAATATTTGAAGGCAAGCACAACATGAAATGTAGTTTTAGGAATGAAAAAGTAGTATGATAGTCAATGGAGCAGAAACTATGATTTTACAAGAACAGAAGAGGAAGCTAGGAAGTGATAAATATTAATGCCTCTTAGGATTTGATGGTGGTTTCTGAAGGAAAATAGAAAGACAGACATAAAAGTTCATATTTGAGGGGGAGTTTCCTAATGGAAGTTTCATATTAAACTGCCGTAGTTACTTTTTCTTGTTTACTGTAGTTACAGGGAACTTCAGTTGTGGTGATATCCCAGTTCTTTCAAGATCACCAGATAATCTGTCCTCTTTGAGCACTTTTTTAAAGGTCATAATATGATATGTATTTGTATAGCAAAGAATCCTGAGAATGAGTCAAGTATATAACAACTTGGAAATTTTCAAGAAAGTGGATTCCCAATTAAATGGCTGATTAAGTTTCTTATTTGAATCTTGATAACCTAATTCATAACCCTTTGGTTTGAGAAAGGATATTTCACTATATAGTCTAAGCAGTACTATCTACTAGTTGTTTATTCTTATTTAAAAGTATGATTATGGGGCCAGTGTTGTGGTGCAGTGGGTTAAGCTGCTGCTTGGAACTCTGGCATCCCACAAGGGGTGTGCTCCTGACTGGCCTGACCCAGCCCCTACCATTGAGGCCATCTGGGGAGGGAACCAGTAATTGGAAGCTCTCTCTCTGTCTCTCTGTCTCTCCCTCTCTTTGTCACTGTGCTTTTCAAATAAGTTGATCTTTTTTAAAAAAAGTTTGATTACATATTTATATAATACTTACTGTAATTATTTCAGGGAAAGAGATATAAACTTACCAATAATAATTTATATGGCCTTATGTTTTTCTTGATTCAGGCTAGAGTCTATCTGGTGTTTCATATCCTTAAGAATAGTGTTGTGTTTATTTTATGAAAAATGTTTTACAGTTATACTATCAAAAATAATATTTAGTTCTTTCTTCTAACATTTCTTGGAAATTAAGATTTTCATTATCTATTTGCAATTTAGCTGAGCTATTATTAGGCTGAATAGTAAAAATAGCACATTCTTTGCTCTTAAAACTTCCTGAGTTATTATAAAAAGCAATCTTGAGAAGGATAGTTAATTCTATCTTGAGTGAAACAGACATTTTGTTTAATGTATCTTGAAAGGAAAAAAAATTCTTCTCAGTTAAATTAGTGATAAAGTTAGGAGAAAGTGATTGCAACATACTATTCTGTATGCTTCCTGTTTAAATAAATGCTAGTCTGCGCCTTAAGAGAGGAAACATGCAGAGTAGATCTTCTAGTAGATCGACAAGATTTAGATTTATAAATTGTCATCTGCTCCTTACTACACTCCATACAGTCAAATTTTGTTTAAATTTTTAGAAAAGATAACAAAGTGGTTATTAGCAACATTACTTTATTGTTTTTATAGTAGTTTTGTCATCATACAACTTCCTGTATTTCTCCTTTTCTTTGCTTCAGCTTTTGACTAAGACAAGTTTCTTATCACTCTCAGGAAACAGTTATGATAGTTTTTCTTGAGAGAGACACTGGCTGTCCCATCTTTCTTCGATTTCTGTTTTTATTCTGTAATAGAATCTTTCATATTTGTAATTGTATGTTTTCTGTGTTTTAAACTTTTCTTTTGGGGTGTACATTTGTCACAGTGGCTTCACATGGAATGTCCCCATCTCTTTTCAGAGTGCCTGGTTCCAGTTCTGGTAACTCTGCTTCTGATCCAACTTCCTGCTAATGTGGTCTGGGGAGGCAGCAGGTGATGGCTCATGTAGTTGGATCCTTGCCACCTATGTGGAAGAACTAGATGGAGTCCTGGGCTCAGGCCTCCTCTTGACCCAGTCCTGGCTGTGTGGACATTTCTAATAAAATGAAAATTTTAAAGGATTTTTTTATTTAAAATTTTGCTTACAATTAGCTTTGATGACTTTATGTGAATATAAATATGTTGGTAAGGCAATTGTTTATTTCCCAGGTAGTGTTTTCTTTGAGTACCCTGAGAATGAGAGTGATGAACTCTCCAATGTTAAAAGTAATGTTTGTCTTCACTGTCCATTACCGAACGCAGTTTTCTGAAAAAGTCACATCTTTGTATGTACATTGTTTTATCTATCATTAAACTTAATTTTTTAAGAACAGAAACTCTCTCTAAATTCCCAAAGGTTTTAATCCTCATCTCTTTCTTACCTGTTCTTGGCTATAGGAGATCATCTTTTTACAATTTCGGAGTTTTGTCCAGGGCAGTAGTTTAAATGGAAAAAAAAAAATTATTAAGTTGACTATGAATGTCTCCCTGACTGAATTTTAAAAATATTATTCTTTATGGAGTTAACTATGGCAGGCTTCCTACTTGTAAAAAGGTGATATTATAAAGGCTTGGAAATTGGGCTTTTGAAATTTAGAATAGGTTTTCATAGAAGCAATAATATGAATATGGGGTGTGAAATAAGGCTAATCTGGCTGGTGCCGCGACTCACTAGGCTAATCCTCCGCCTGCGGCGCCGGCACACCGGGTTCTAGTCCCAGTCAGGGCACCGGATTCTGTCCCAGTTGCTCCTCTTCCAGTCCCGCTATCTGCTGTGGCCCAGGAATGCAGTGGAGGATGGCCCAAGTTCTTGGGCCCTGCACCGGCATGGGAGACCAGGAGAAGCACCTGGCTCCTGCCTTCGGATCAGCGCAGTGCGCCGACCGCAGCTGACACATAATATAAACTGCAATCAAACCAAGCATAATTGTAATTAAACTGATATGGTATAAACTTGTGTTTCCTTGGTATACAGGTACTTGTGAAAAAACCTAGAGAGTCTTATAGAAATTTTGAATGAATACTTTCTAGAGATTCAGAAACTGATGATACTGTATCTATCATATTGAATTTAATTTTTAAAATATCAAATAAATAAAAATAGAATGCCTGTTAAATTGTTTCTTCATATTTCTTGATGGCCATATTTGTACATTCTAAGAAAATAGTCATTGAGCACAATATTTGGATCCATTTCTCTGGAGAAGTCAGCAGCATACTACCACTGTTCTAAATGTAGAACTAAAATATAATACATTTATAACTTTGGTGAAACATCAGTGGTAATATAGTCCTACAAGACAGCAAAATCTATGTTTAACACAATACCTGAATATGTTCATTCTAAAGTTATATATTCTCTATATATTGTAAGCTAAAACATTTATAACACATTATCATTTATAGGGAGTTTCCATCTTATTCAAAGGACTTACACGTGATATAGACTGACCCACAGCAGTCATATAATTTGTTTCATAATTGAAATCATGTGTAGTTATAGTTATATAAATGTTTTAGTTTATTTTTCATTATGGAATATATTAGCCACATTAGGAGCTCAATACTTTTTAAATTAGCTGTTAGCATTTTGAAAAAAATTTTGTATATGTAATTTTTTGGAAGGGGAAGGTGATAAAAAGGGTAGGAAGAGAGAAACTTATTATGAGAACTTAGTATGAAACCATCAAGATCATGTCTGTGCACTTCTTTGTCACCTTCATCTCTTGTCTGTCGCTAAGGTTGAGATGAGTAAGAGAAAAGAAGCTGGGGAATGTGGGAAAAATCAGCTGAAGAATTAGGATGTATGTTTCTAAATAGAAAACAGAGTACAGGAGGCAGCTAGAGCTCTTCTCATTCCCTTGCTCCTTACATTCCAGAAAATACAGCATCGAGGTTAAAAACCTGTGCCTTTAATATTAGCACCACTGTTGTATAAACAGTAGGAACTTGGATTGTCCTTTAAAGTATCCTGCCCCCGACCCCCAGTGGTACACTCTAGTCTATGGATGCTGACTGGCAGTAACTGAGACAGGGCTCATTAGGGGATGCTGAGAGAAGTCTAGAATCAGATTGTTGTTTGGATGTTGTAACTTTGGAATTTTGATTTAACAAATTGAGAGTGCTCAAATATAAAACTCAAATACAAATGCTACTAACAAAATGTCAGAAAATTGTATCAGGAAGTATTCTAGATTTCAGTCTGAAATGCCCATATTCTGAGTATAATAAGCCTTTTATTTTATTCTAAATATTTCATGCTTTTAATGATATTATTTAAAAACAATAAGAAGAGAAACACTGCATTTATATAACTTTTGACAATATTTTACAAGCCCAACCCATCGGGCATTAATGTTATTTTAGCTACACGTTTTAACTCTGCCAATTTCTCTCAGAGTTAAACTCTCCTTTCAAGTGTATTTATTGCTGTTTCTAAGGGGTAATAAGCATAGTTTCAAGTGTACTGTAGTATTAAAAGTGATTTAGTAATCAACTTGTTTTTATTTCAACGATTTCTTTGCTGTTTGTCTAGGGGATAGTGATTCTAGAAGAATGTCAAGTTCCAAAAGACAATCTGAAAAAACAAATACAATATGCAGATCAAGCATCTTCATTAAACACTGCAGGGAATCCTCAGATTTCCCAGGAGAGTCAAGATCCTTTCCCAGAACAAGATTTTGAGATGTCACCTAGCAGTCCTACATTACTTCTTCGAAACATAGAAAAACAGGTAAAGTCAGAGCAAAGTTTCCATGGTAGGAAAAGACTTCTACTCTATTTCATAAGCTATTCAAATAAACATCATTATATGTGTGTCTGTCTGGGATACAAGTTATTACAATTGGCCATTTGATATTAAATATAATTAAAATACTTGGTGTATAACTGGTCTTTCATAATATTGATATAATTAAAATTATTTAAATTAATATGGAAAGTGCTGGCACATAGCCATCGATGATAATTCAATTTTGTGTTACAAAATCCTTTTACTAACAAAATTTCTCAGCATTAGGCTTTTTTTTTTTTCAGAAGAATAGTATTGTTGCACTAGTTAATAAATCTGAAAGGTTGTTTTACTGACTTATTGAGTGAGATTTCAATGAAAGATAATAATTATAACCTGGGTTTCTTCATGTAAAAATGATAATGTAAGTGGAAAGTCAAGGAAACCTCTCCTAAGGGTGGACGTTATAGCTCAATGAGTTGAGATACTGCTTAGAACACTCACATATCATATTGGAGTGCCTGGGATCAAGTCCTGCCTCTACTTCACATCCAGTTTCCTCATAATGTGCCTGGGAGGCACCAGATAATGACCGAAGTACCTAGGTTCTTGACACCCACCTGAATGGCTCCTGGCTTTGGCTGTTGTAGACGTTTGGAGAGTGAATCAGCAGATGGAAGACCTCTCTGTTTCTGTTTGTCTCTCTTTGCCTCTCCCTTTCTCCCTGTCACTCTGCCTTTCATATAAACAAATGAATAAATCTTTTAAAAAATAGCTTCTTGTATATTATTTTGATTCTAATGCCTTCTCTGGTAACTAAATCCTATTATGTTCTTCTGATATGAAACCATTTAGTTTGATTCAGACTTTGGTGATTTTGAACAAACATGGCTTTTTAATACCTTGAAACTAGACTGGATCTGCCAGAGCACAGCCAATCTTGATCATGTAGCAGGATTACTTTGTTCCCTGGGGAAATAATAATAGATTCATAGCTACCTGCATCTAATTTTCCTGGGTTTTTCTGACAAAGACGGCGAAGTAATTTAGTCTTCTTTCTGGCAATACAAAATATGATATAAACTTTCCTACCCCATATTTTTAAATATAATTACCTAGAGTTTTCCTTAATTGGAATGCAAAATCAGAATACTTTCATGAATATTTGTAATCTGAGAAGTTGTTTGGTAATATCTGATATTAAATTGGAATGCATTTTATCATGTAAGCAATATTTTTAAATTACTGTTAGTTATTTTCTCATAATCTCACTGCCTTATTTCTTTTATTGCTGTTGTCCTGTGGGATCAATCCCCTTTCATTTTTACCTTAATTGTTTCATCTGCAGAGTAATTTATTTGTTTGCTCAGTCAAATCTACTTTTTTCATCTGTAGGTCTCTATTTATTCAGGGGAAAGTAAGCTGGTTTAATTCTTAATATATCACAATTCTAGAAGAATTTTAACTTTAAAAAGTGATTTCTTATATTTTTTTTCTTCTCTCCTTGGTATTACCAATTTGTTTGGTTGGACTTGAGACTAAACTGGAACTGGCTAAAGAAATTTAAATAATTTAAAGAAAAAAAGATTTATTTATTTATTTGCTTACTTATTTACTTATTTGACGGGCAGAGTTACAGAGAGACAGAGAAAGATCTTTCATCCACTGGTTCACTCCCTAGATGGCCACAATGGTTAGGGCTAGGCAGGCCAAAGCCAGGAACCTGGAGCCACGAGATTCATCTGGGACTCCCACATGGGTACAGGTACTAGCTAATTTGAAGAGCCCAGTGCAAAATGAAATTAGAGGCCGGCACCGCGGCTCTCTAGACTAATCCTCCGCCTGCAGCGACAGCACCCCAGGTTCTAGTCCCGGTCAGGGTGCCAGATTCTGTCCCAGTTGCTCCTCTTCCAGTCCAGCTCTCTGTTGTGGCCTGGGAGTGCAGTGGAGGATGGCCCAAGTCCTTGGGCCCTGCACCGGCATGGGTAGACCAGGGGAGGCACCTGGCTCCTGGCTTCAGATCAGCATGGTGAGCCAGCCACAGCGGCCATTGGGGGGTGAACCAACAGAAAAGGAAGACCTTTCTCTATGTCTCTCTCTCACTGTCCACTCTTCCTGTCAAAAAAAAAGAAAGAAAGAAAGAAATTGCAGAATCCTTTGTTTTAAAAAAATTAAGAATTTAAAGACAGTAGAACAGTCAGCAAGCATAAGTTCTGTGGCTGCACAGGTTCTGTGCCCAAGAAGCTTGCCTTGGATAGTATGTGCATTTTAGGTCTCTTTGCTGATGGGAGTATTAGAGGCTTAGGTAGTATTGGAAAGCAGGAGTTGTGTGAGCAATGGTAATGGCTTCGGGGCTGGCACTGTGGCGCAGCGGGTTAACACCCTGGCCTGAAGCGCCGGCATCCCATATGGGCGCTGGTTCAAGTATCAGCTGCTCCACTTCCAATCCAGCTCTCTGCTATGGCCTGGGATAGCAGTAGAAAATGGCCCAAGTCCTTGGGCCCCTGTATCCGTGTGGGAGACCTGGAAGAAGATCCTGGCTCCTGGCTTCGGATCAGCGTAGCTCTGACCGTTGCAGCCAATTGGGGAGTGAACCATTGGATGGAAGTCCTCTCTCCCTCTCTCTGCCTCTCCTCTCTCTGTGTAACTCTGACTTTCAAATAAATAAATAAATATTTTTAAAAAATGGAATGGCTTGGTGTAGGAACAGTAGACGAAAAAAGATGGGAAAAAGGAGCAATAGCAATTGCTTGGAAGGTAATTAATAAATTGCTATCAACAAGTCATTTGCTCTTGAAACATGATAACAATGCCTTTATAAGTCCTTTAAAAATAAGTTATTTTCAAATATTTGTTAAGGAAGACAGTCAAGATGTGAGTTAAGCACTAGGAGTAGCAAGCTCAACATTACACCTATTTTTCTTGAGATAATCTGTTGGTATTCAGCTGTTCTTGATAAGCTTTTGGCTTGGTTGCAGTAGTTAGAGCTTGCAGCTAAACACTATTGAGTAGTAGACGTGTCATTTAAAAAACTACATTATGGATTCATAATAGTCACACTAGCATTGTCACGTAATCTATTTTGTTCACAAATTAAAATTTACCTTATTTTTATTTAGGTGATTTAAAACATACCTCATATTAAGTAATTTTGGTGATTTACAATAAATCTCACTTCTTTTTTTTTTTTCATCCAGGTTTTTTTTTTTTTTTTTTTTTTGACAGGCAGAGTGGACAGTGAGAGAGAGAGACAGAGAGAAAGGTCTTCCTTTGCCGTTGGTTCACCCTCCAATGGCCGCCGCGGCTGGCGCGCTGTGGCCGGCGCACCGCGCTGAACCAATGGCAGGAGCCAGGTGCTTCTCCTGGTCTCCCATAGGGTGCAGGGCCCAAGGACTTGGGCCATCCTCCACTGCACTCCCTGGCCACAGCAGAGGGCTGGCCTGGAAGAGGGGCAACCAGGACAGAATCTGGCGCCCTGACCGGGACTAGAACCCGGTGTGCCGGCACCGCAAGGCGGAGGATTAGCCTAGTGAGCCGCGGCGCTGGCCCAATAAATCTCACTTCTAATATACTTACATTAGAAAACTTATGAATAGCTAATACATTTTTAAATTTTTGTATCCAGAGTTCAAATATTATCTTCCCTAATTTTATATTCTTATTTTCATTTTTACTGTGAATTTCCTAAGCCACATGCAGACTCCGGTACATGAGAGTGTACTGGGCCAGAGTAGGCTGTTGGTAAGGGAAAGGCTCAGGCTTGTGGTGATGTTTTTGTGAGCCAATTAATGAAACATACCGGACCAGCGATTTCCAGTGGCTTTAATGATGTTTTTGGAAGTAAAACAATGAGAAGAATGTTTCTGTGTTTCAGACTGGAAAATATGAGCTACACCATAGGTTGAATTGTGTGACTAATTAATACTTGCTAAATGAACAAAAAATCTATTTGTATTGATGATTTGTAAAATGAGCTATCTTCTAAAAACTCTGATAATAATTTTTAAAATGAAGTCATTAGGTACATATTATTTCTCAAAAAAGTAAATGGTCAAAACATTTCATGATCTTTTTTATGAAAGTTTTTCTTAAGGAGTCAAACAACAGTCTTAATTCTTAATATTCTTTTAGTGTCATATTTATTAGCATTTTATTAGTTAAATAAAAAGAGTTTCAAAATAATTATTTCATATACTCGTAAACATGAGTATACGGATAATATATAAAAGTTATAATGGAATCTTTTCAGTCAGTTAAGATGGTGAGATGGCTCACTCTCTCTCTGCCTCAGTATTAAGTGAGAAAGCCAGATTTTACAAATTTGATGTTAAATGATTTTACTAAAAGTATGTATGTGGGGGCTGGCACTGTGGTGTAGCAGGTAAATCTGCCACCTGCAGTGCCAGCATCCCATATGGGCACCAATTCGAATCCTGGCTGCTCCTTTTCCAATCCAGCTCTGCTATGACCTGGGAAAGCAGCAGAAGATGGCCCAAGTCCTTGGGCCCCTCCATCTGCGTAGGAGACCTGGAAGAAGCTCCTGGCTCCTGGCTTTGGATCCACACAGCTCTGGCCGTTGGGGTCATCTGGGGGGTGAACCATCGGATGGAAGACTCTCTCTGCTTCTGCCTCTCTGTAACTCTGACTTTCAAATAAATAAATAAATAAATAAATCTTTTTTTTAAAAAAAAAGCATGTGTGTGTGCATGTTTTACATATATTCATGAACATATACACTCAGAAACCTTATTCTAGAGGGAAACATATATGCTAAGACATTATCAATTTTTTTCTGTGAAGTAGCATTGTAAATGACTTTCTTCTACACTTTTTAAACTTCTTTATATTTTCCAATTTTTCTACAATGAACATGGGTTACATGTGTAATGAAAATAGATGTTACTGTCTTATATGAATGTACTATTTCCATTTATGTAGCTTTTGTTTACTATAATTTCTGTAAGCTATCGAGTATAATTATTTATTACATGCATGTAAGTCAGTGATAAGGATCAAAGAAAATTTTGAATGCCAAAAAAAGAGTGCTGATATTTTTGAATTAGGAGAAATATTGAAAAACAGTTAACATTGGATTTATTTCTAGATTTGAATCCTAACTCCATTTTTAATCAATTTTGTAATCCTCAACCAATTAGTTTACTATTTCTTTCTTTGATATAATTTTCTCATCTGATATTAATACAAGTGATATGAATAGCTTATATTATCTACCTTGCAGGTTAGTTGTAAAGAATAGAAAGGGTTACTGTTACATTTGTTGTGTACAGTCGTGCCTGGTACATATTAGGCACTTAATAAATTATAGCTATGAGTTTTTAAACTTATTAGTTTGGCTGCCTCAAGGGCAATGTTGTATCAATGCCGTTAGTTGGGCTTGTGCATTTTAAAGGATGGGATGGGTAGATAAAGTAACTGTGATTAAAAAAACAGTATGAAATGGATGGATGCTTACAAATGTACATTTATAATGAAAAAAAATCAGCTGTGGCATAAATCATTAGAGATTAAAATATTTACTAAAGTAACAAGCATTTATATTTTTCATGAGGAGTTAAACATTTAGTAGACACTACAGGTCTTTTCTATTTCACATTTCTTGTTTAGCAGTAGTAAATGGTTGATTGTTTTCTTGCAGAGTGCACAGTTAACTGAGATCATCAACAGTTTGATTGCCCCTCTCAACTTGTCCCCAACTTCATCACCCCTCTCTTCTAAATCCTGTAGCCATAAATGTCTGGCTAATGGCATTTCCAAGAGGTAGGTATCAAGTGGGATAGTATTGCTTCTAAATTTGGCTTTGTTTATTTTTATTTTTATTTTCTTTTGTTTTATCTTTTAAGTATTATAGCTACTTTTTTCTTCTAGGTTAAAGACTACTAAAGTATAATCAATGTACTATGAATACAGTTTTAGATAACATCCAGCTTATATGATCAGGGTAGCTATAAATCTGGTAATGAGGGAGAAAGCTTTCCAGAAAGTGTTACAATGTTTCTAAAAAAAGTGACAGTGAAAGCATATGCAAGAGAAGAATTGCCTTATTTCTATTATTCACTTATTATTAATATTATTTACTTATTATATTTTGTACTTTGTAATCTTGAACTCCATGCTCTCCTTACAATGCATTTTGAGAAAAAAAAGACCTATATCTAGATATTACCCATAAAATTCACCTTAAATTATAATAAATTATTTTGTATCTTAGCCTTTATAAAGTAAATTTTTTCTAAATATAATTAGTAAAATAACTTTTGTATTCATTAGCAACTTATTATGTGTTGTATCAGTATATCACATATGGAATATATATAGTATATATATGATATATGTATCTATATTTGTGTGTGTATATATATATATATGCTATGAATCCTAATCTTTTGAGTTAATGACATTTGTTTCATCTTATTTTGCTTAGCTTTCTTTTTGACTTTTTCCTTTTAAAATTGCAATTAGAAAGCAGGCGCCGCAGCTCACTAGGCTAATCCTCTGCCTTGCGGTGCCGGCACACCGGGTTCTAGTCCCAATCGGGGCACCAGATTCTGTCCCGGTTGCCCCTCTTCCAGGCCAGCTCTCTGCTGTGGCCAGGGAGTGCAGTGGAGGATGGCCCAAGTGCTTGGGTCCTGCACCCCATGGGAGACCAGGAGAAGCACCTGGCTCCTGCCATCGGATCAGCATGGTGCGCCGGCCGCACGCGACGGCCATTGGAGGGTGAACCAACAGCAAAAGGAAGACCTTTCTCTCTGTCTCTCTCTCTCACTGTCCACTCTGCCTGTCAAAAAAAAAAATTGCAATTAGAAGGCATACTAATAGACTGTTATATTGAGTATGGATCATCTAATTTTTTTCCAAATGATGCTGTAATGTTGGTTTCTTGGTTCTAATTATCTTACAAAATCAGTGTGATTTCATATTAGGAACTATTTGAATTAATAATTGTATGATTTATTATTTTGTAATATTTTAATATGACAAAGAGAAAATGTACATCACAATGAAAATTAAGCTAGATAGTCTTCACATTCTTAGATTAGTGGATATAAACCACTGTTCTTCAATTTTTATTTCTAATTGTTTACTTCAAATGTCTAATTTTTAGTACTTTCACAGTTTTATTTGTGCTGGGTTATTTACCCATTGTTCTATTACAGGAATAATTTTTCTATTGGTTCTTCATTATTTTGACTTTATTTTCATTCCTTATACTCCTGATGATTCACTTTATGTTTTAAATTTTTTATTAATATAAAGAGAATAGGTTTTATTCATTTCATAGGTACAATTCCAAGAAGACAACCACACTTCCCTCTTTCCCCTGCAATACCCCTCCCTCCCTCCTCTCTCTTCATGAGTTTTTAGAAAGACATATTTTAATATACTTTATATTCACAGGCTTATTTTGCCACCAGTCATAGTATTCAACAAGTAAAAAGTAGGAAGATCCCAGTTCCACAGGAGTATAAACAAAGGCTAAAAACAATAATCACAATCATATCCCAAAATGACTTTTTCATTCCTATATGTTTTTGTTATTCTGTGTTAACTGCCACATATCAGAGAAAAATGTATATTTGTCTTTCTGAGACTGGCTTATTTCACTAAGCATAATGGCTCGCAGTTGCATCCATTTTGTTGCAAAACATAAGATTTCATTCTTTTTTATGGCTGTGTAGTATTCCATGGTGTATATTCCATGTTTTCTCTACCCAGTCACCAGTTGATGGATATCTGGGTTGATTCCATATTTTATTCATTGTGAATTGTGCTGTAATATACCTGGAGTACAAATAACTCTTTGATATGCTGATTTCATTTCATTTGAGTTAATTTGCAGGAGTGCGATGGATGGGTCATATGATAGATCTATTTTCAGATCTCTGTTGGAATTGCCATACTGTCTTTCACAATGGCTCTATTGGTTTACATTCCCACCAACAGTGAATTAGGTTACCTTTTCCCCTATATCCTTTCCAGGATTTATAATTTTTTGGTTTTTGGATGATAGCCATTCTAATTGGGATGAAAAACCGCATTGTGATTTTGATTTACATTTCGCAGATGGCTAGTGATCCTGTGTGGTTTTTTATGTGTCTGTTGGCCATTTGTATTTCATTATTTGATCAAATCTATTGCTCATTTCTTAACTGGATTTTTTGTTGTTGTTGTTGCTTTTGAGGTTCTTGAAGTGTTTATAGACCCTAGATAATAATCCTTTATCAGTTGAATAGTTTGCAAATATTTTTCCCATTCTGTCACTTGCTTCTTCACTTTGTTGAATGTTTCCTTTGCAGTGAAGAAGCTTCCTAGCTTGATATAATCTCATTTATCTAATTTTGCATTTATTTCCTGTGCTTCTGGGGTCTTTTCCAAGAAGTTTTTACCTATACCAATGTCTTGCAGAGATTTCCTGAAGTTTTCCTCTAGTAATTTGTTGGTACCAGGTTATAGATTTAGGTCTTTGATCATTTTAAGTTGATTTTTGTATAGATAGATATTCTCAAGTAAAATATTGCACCTTCTTCTACTTTCTCTTTTTCCAAATTCAGAAAATCAAACACAGATTTCTGATGAGCACAACTAAAATAATAAATCCACTGTGTCTACATGGAGAAAATATGAAAGAAAAAAGACAAATGGAACATCCTAATGTAACTTAGAATGTTAAAAGGCATCATTTTGGCCAGCGCCATGGCTCACTAGGCTAATCCTCCCCCAGCAGCGCCGGCACACCAGGTTCTAGTCCTGGTCGGGACGCCGGATTCTGTCCCAGTTGCCCCCTTCCAGGCCAGCTCTCTGCTATGGCCTGGGAGTGCAGTGGAGGATGGCCCAAGTCCTTGGGCCCTGCACCCGCATGGGAGACCAGGAGAAGCACCTGGCTCCTGCCTTCGGATCAGTGCGGTGCGCCAGCCGCAGCACGCCAGCCGCAGCGGCCATTGGAGGGTGAACCAACGGCAAAGGAAGACCTTTCTCTCTGTCTCTCTCTCTCACTGTCCACTCTGTGTGTCAAAAAGAAAAAAAAAAAAAAAACAGCATCATTTCATTGGAGTCATAGACTGACAGCTGACTTCTCAACAGTAGCAATAGGAGTTAGTGGACAATAGAATGACATGTTCGGTATGTTGAAAGAAAACAAAAAATTTTTTTTAAGATTTACTTATTTATTTGAAAGGCAGAGTTACAGAGAGGCAGAGGGAGGGAGAGAAGTCTTTCATCTTCTGTTCACTCCTCAAATGGCCACAATGGTTGGAGCTGAGCCAATCCAGTGCCAGGAGCCAAGAACTTCTTTCAGGAGTCCCACATAGGTGCAGGGACCCAAGGACTTGGGCCATCTTCTACCACTATCCTAGGCCATAGCAGAGAGCTGGATTGGAAGTGGAGCAGCCAAGACTCAAACTGGTGCCCATATGAGATGTCAACACTGCAGGTGGCAGCTTTGCCCACTATGTCACAGCACCGGCCCCAAGAAAGCAATGTTTTAAAAAATTTATTTATCCAGGCCAGTGCTGTGCCATAGCAGGTAAAGTCTTCACCTGTAGCATTGGCATCCATATGGGCATTGGTTTGAGTCTCAGCTGCTCCACTTCCAATCCAGCTTCCTGCTAATGCACTGGGAAAGCAGCAGAGAATGGCCCAAGTACTTGGACCCCTGCACCCATGTGGAAACCCAGAAAAAGCTCCTGGCTCCTGGCTTCAGCCTGGGCTAGCTTTGGCTATTCTTTCTCTCTCCTTCCCTCTTTCTCTTTCTCTGTCTCTCTTTCTCTGTCTCTCTCTCTCTCCTTCTCTCCCTCCCTCCCTGCTTCCCTCCCTCCCTCTCTCTCTCCTCTCTCTCTCCTCTCTCTCTCTCTCTGGTATGGGGATGCCAGTGTTGTACGTGGTGGCTTAACCTACTATGCCGCAGCTCCAGCTCTAAGAAAACATTTTTATGTAGAAATTCTGTACACAAAGAAAATATCTTTCTTTCTTTTTAAAGATTTATTTATTTGGAAGGCAGAGTTAACTGAGAGACAGAGGTAGAGAGAGAGAGAGAGAGAGAGAGAGAGAGAGAGTGATAGGGATCGTCCACCTGCTGGTTCACTCCACAAATTGCCACAATGGCCAGAGCTGGGCCAATCTGAAGCCAGAAGCCTGGAGATTCTCCCAGGTCTCCCACATGGATGCAGAGTCCCAAGTACTTGGACCATCTTCTACTGCTTTCCTAGGCCATAGCAGAGATATGGATCAGAAGTGGAGCAGTCAGGACTCAAACCAGTGCCCATATGGGATGCTGGCACTGCAGATGGTGGCTTTACCTGCTACACCACAGTGCCACCCCTGAGAAAACATCTTTCAAGAAAAAGTGTGAAACACAAGTATTTTCAGACAAACCAAAACTAGCAAAGTAGACTAGTTAACCTTAATGAAAACCATAAAGAATATATTTCAGGCCATGAGAACTGATGTTCTTGTTTGAAAATCTGAGATACTAGGAGGGAAGAAGAACAGAAAAAATGGGAAACAACCATATGCCCATGTGTAAACAAATAGTAATAAAATGACAAGATGAAAAAAATAAACAACTCCATGATTATAACAGCATGTAGGTCAGGATAAAGCAAATAGATTTAATCTATATTCAGTTGCTTGAATCATTCAGTGGGCCAGTAAAAGAACTGATTTAGCTTTCAGTATTTCTAAGTGTGATAAAGGAGCTCCCCATGAAAGAATGAAGTTTTGGATATTGATACTGTTGTATTTCTTCATCTGAGGAGTGGCTT